CTGTTTAATAATTTATTATTTACTTATATCTTTATTTAAGATCTGTCTTAGGTAGGACAATTATTCAAATATATATTAACGGTGAGATTTATTCAATCGTGCTACGTAAATAAAAATAAATTTGGCTGCAGAAGTGATTATAATTTACAAGGATCTGTTCACTTGCCACTTGTGGGTCAAGAAATCGCCTCTCGCCTGTAAACATTTGAGGGCGCGAGCTGTAAAGTCAAAGTACTATATGTATGAAATAAATTGTGACGCGGAGACAGGGGACGTGTCGTTGCCAGCACACACAAACTTGGAGCTTAATTTTTTAATTTTCGTTTGGATCTCTGACTGGCCGCTCAATTTAACCTTAGCTACCTATACAGACCCCCTTCCCCACGCCGGAGGTGGTGGGGGAGTGTTTGGGGGTGCAGTGACGCACTGTCTATCTGTTTTCTCTGTCCCTCGCTAACCGCCTGACTGAGCTCGAATCTAAAATAAAAAATAAGATATAAGAACAAAATGCGAGATGCGCAGACTGATGAAGAGATGAGGGAAGGAGGAAGGAGGAAGCAGGAACCCCTCATATTTGGGGCGCATACTTAAGGCGCAGCACAAAGAAGGCCAAATTTAATTTGTGCTCAGTTGCTGTTACCGTTGCTCTTGTTATTGTTGTTTCTGTTGTTGTGCCATGCAGAAATTGCTACCCAATTACGTAATAAAATCTGACTGAAGTTGCTCTTATTATTTAATTTTTTCTTCTTTCTTCTTCTTGTTGTGCTGGTGCTGGCTTGGCTTGGCCAACAGTTCCCTTTCCACTGACTCTGAGTGTGAGTCGGAGTCTGAGTCTGACTTTGACTTCATCCCCTCCATCTCCCCCCTCTTGACTTGCCACTTTTATCCCTGCCCAGGGCTTTGGGGCACGCGCGCCTATTATGGTATAATGCTGTAAAAACAAAACGCAACAGCAATGGCGACGTCGGCGACGTCGGCGACGACGACGATGGCGATGGCGGCGTCAAATCAACTTTATATTTCGCTATGAGCAACATTAGCAGATAAGCAGCAACAAAAACAACAAACAAAGCAAATCCAAGGCGACGCAAGTTTGTTTGTTGCATCATTCACAAAAAGGTCTAAGCTTCATGTGTGTGAGTGTGTGTTTGTGTCTGTATGTGTCTTCAAAGCTGCCCCCAAATAGAGGCGACACATTAGCCTCCACTGAAAAAAAAGCAACAAAAACATGAACATTGTAAGTGAATTGGCAGCAGAGGAAGGGGACAAAAAGAACCAATGCAAAAGGCTTGCCTTTGACGAAACTAAAATACTCTATAAACTCGATAAGAATAGTTTTCTAATTGAAATCCTGAAAAGCCAAACGATTATGCAAAGTCGAAAGGTACTTGCTTTAATACTTTGTTTTCAATTTTTAATCATTTCTTATCCAAAATAATTTTAATTTACCAATAGTCCTTGTTATGTTTCTAAATACAGCTCCAAACTAAAGGTTTGGAAAACTGAGAAAAAAAACATAGAATACTTGTGTGTAGCATTTCAGAAATATTGCAAAATTGCACGATTTTTTTAGAACATTTTTGAGGAGATAAGCATGGATTGATTCGCTGTTTATAACAAAGACTGCTAAGTGCAAGCCCTCTGAACTAAGCAGAACTGCCCTCTGTCTAGGGTAGAAATAGGAGCTCAGCAAAAAGGACATTATGTCTGGCGTAATAAGTGCCCTGTGGTGCAGCTTAGCTGCTGGCATCTTTTCTTGTAGGTGTTCTTCAGTATCTCTCTCTCTCTCTCTCTCCCTCTCTCTCGCTGGCGCCTGGACTGATAAAATTACGTACAGCTTGACATCTTAGTAGTATATATCTGTATGTATATGTATACTCTTATAGAGGCATTCAAAAGCCGCTTTTCACAGCAGCAGCAGCAGCAGCAAGGAAAACTGTAAAGCGCAAAAATCTTGAATTCAGCCTACCCTGCACCACACCGTACCACCCCATCCCGACTTGCTTCAGCGTGCAAAGTAAAATAAAAGTCGCTGCCTTGAGGCGTTGAGTGAGTGAATTTTTGTTGGCAATTTATGAATCGACGAATTAAATTATGCGTGCTGTACATTATACAAAAAATAAAAAATAATAAGAAGAAAAAAACTGAAAAACTGAAGACGACGATGAAAATGTGAGTCAAGTAAAAATGATAAGGAGGCGGCAGGCGCTACAAAATTGACACACCACCCACACTGCAAACAGAGGGCACTGACAGCAAACAAAATGGAGCGTTAAACGAGTCAAGCAACAGATAACAGAATAAACAAAAATAAGAACAAGAAGAAGAAGAAGAAGAGTCCAATATATTCACTCTTTTTGAATGGCCAGCGACAGCACCAGCGCCAGCGTTTCCGCAAACAATTTTTTTGCCTTCAGACTTCATCCACACCCGAAAGTATGCAACGAATAATTACCAACGATTTTGCTGGCCAGTGTTGCCCCACACTTTATACAAATAAATAGTTATTGGTGTGGTGTAAATAAATGATAAATAATAATACAAATGGTGGGAGGTGCAGGGTACTTAAGAGTTGAGCTCGCTCGACTTTAGCATTCCTTTCTTGTTTTATTTTGTTCAGCTCAGAAGTTAATTTCCTAACCGTGCTCCAAAATCAAACAACGTTACTCACAAAATCGCAATGTTTCATAAAATTAAAATAATTAAGAAGATTACTTTTCAGAAATTCAGCTCCATGAATGAAAGCTGGAATATTTAATGCAACAATAAATTAAAATTTCATCGTGGCTTGTTTGTATACATAAGCCTTTGAAATTTTTTGGCAAACAAATATTTAATACTTCAATCAGATTACACAGTAATGTGGCATTTTCCGCTGCTTCAGCTTACGTGGCTTTCAATAAAAGTTTAGTTTCATGCTCGAGGAGCTATTGAAGTGAATAAGAAATCATAACAAAATATTTACAAATAGTATGACCGCGAGCTCATAGATTTGTCAACCCTTGACAAGGAATAACACTTTATTTGTTCAATTGGGGTTGGTTGTCAGGTGCTGATGATGATGACGATATCGCTGCTGATCGAAAGGCTCCATTTTTGTGTCCTGCACAAGTGTTTGCACTTAAAACTTTCTTTCGACCGCTGTGGAAGCCCCAGAAGTGGATATATGTACATACTACATACATATACAAGTATGTATGTGTCTCTGACTGTCTGTTCTGTCTGTCTGTGTACATTTATTTCATGTTTATGCAATGGCCAATTGATGTGCGTGTGTGTGTGCAGCAATAATAATAAAAACCGTAAAGCGTTTTTCTTTCTCTTCTCCTTCGCTTGCTGGTAGCTGTTGGCTGCCGTTGTTGTTTGCCAAAAGTGGCTGCCATTTGCCGTTGCCGCACAAACATTTGAGGGCAATAGTAAATTTGTTTGCTGCTGCTGGTGCTGCTGCCGCACAGGGAGCAGGGAGAAATGATCCTTCAGCTGGCGAACGGTTGCTCTTCTTTTCTTTACTTTTTTTTGTTCTTAACAATTTCTGTTTATTTATTTTTTCTCTCATTTTGGTTTATTTTTGTTTTTTCTGCTGGCTGTGGCTTTTTTGTTGTTTCAGTTGAGCTTGCGATTATTTTGCCATTATTTTCCATTATTTTACTTTATTTCAATGACTGTTTACATTAGGCACACGCACACACACACACACACATACATACGCATACATACACGCTCATATGAGACCATGGTAAGCAGTGCACAAGTGCTGCATACTTTAGGGAGTCTCTTCACTTTTCTTATTGAACTGTATATATGATGATGATGATGATGACGATGATGATGACGATGATGTAAAGACGAAGCAGGCACGTCCACGAGGGGGTACAATTCACAATGGCACACACAGAAACACATACATACATGCACCTACTGCTAAGCCAAGTCTTTGATTTCGCAATACATTTGTGTGCCGTTTGAATTGCGAAACTCCATGGGTATTTGTTTTACTCTCGCACACTCTCACACACACGCACACACACATACACATAGGCACACATGGGACGCTTGTAACAATATATACATACTACTATATGCAAACAAACTTATAAATACACTTGGCACAGTTTTAGAAAACTTTTGAAATGCAAATGTTGAAATATTGAATTTGTGAAACAAATAAAAGAAATTGAAGATAGTTGAGTGAGCTTAGCATTGCATCAGAGCTTAAACTGAGGTACTGAGCACCACTAAAAAATCTCAACTCAGCACTCGCTGGGCAGTTTTAAGAACCTTATTATTTCAAATTTTACTGACAGCTTATATAGAAATGCTTTAGAGTTGGACAGAAAGCTGATGTTAAACCAAAGACGTATTTTTATAAAGCAAGTAATTGTAGTATGTGCCATACAAATTATTTATATAAATGTACATATGTACTAGAGTTTTGTTCCTCATTTAATGATAATGGGAAGCAATTTTCCTGTAGTCTCCGTAAATAATTAAGCGATTGATGGCAATAATTGCCAGCCCAATCAACTAAACTGTGTGTGTTTCTCCAGACTTATTAGTAACTGATTCATAATACAGTAACAAATAATTTCCGGTTGTTTTCTACTGACTTAAGCAACCGAATATAATGAAACCAACAATTTAATTTAGAATATTTAATACTACAAAGGAAAACGGCTAATCGATTTAAATAAATAAATGAAAGAGTTCTGTAAATAAAACCCAAATATAACAAATCGCCTGTTGTCATTGATATTTTTATTACTCCACCTGCCTTATAACCATAACAATGAGATTTCCAAAGAGTGTTTCCTAAATATTGCCACGAAGCTAATGCATTTCTTAATAATGGTAAATCAGAAATATATATAAGATGCAACCCTTTTGAAGCGCATACACGCTTTATTTTTGCAAGTGTATGCGAGTATATAAACTTTTGTCGGTGCGATTATTTTACTTGCTTACTTATGCCGCGTTGCCTTTTTCTTTTCTTACAATTTCAGGCCGAGATCTGGAGTGTTTTCATTGCGATTCTGCGCAAGAGTGTTCGCAATTTGCAGGCATGCACAGATGTTGGACTCATCGAGCACGTGCTGGTGCGTTTGCAGCGCTCGGAAACAGTTGTGGCAGGTATGTACTAGACGCTTAAATACACACACCTGTGTATACATACAAGTATATTCCCATATACATAATATGCGTGTGTGGATATGTATGGGTGGAGAAGGGCACATGTGAAAAGAAATAAACACGCGGCCTATACCAAGCAACCAAGCAACCAACCAACATGAACATGAAGCCTTGGGGAGAAGTTTTTACTGCCTATTTGTTTATTTTACTTGTTCTTGTTCCGCCTCTCTTACGATTCTTTACAAAGATCTTGCAACTCATTAAAAATGCATTGCAGCAAGTGAAGTCAGTCAGTCAGTCGAACCATCCACACACACACACACACACACACGCAGAAACACAGAAACACACACGCACACACAGACACACAGATATAGTGAGTGTGGCCCAGACTCGGAACCACAGCAGCACGGCAGTGACAGTGCATGAATTTCATGTATGCTGTTTGTGCCTTGCGACTGTGGCCTGCAAATTTAATTGAAAGAAAATTGAATAAAATGACATACACATACATATATACATACATATATATATATAGACAGACAGCCCGATAGACAGATAGAGATAGAAGGACTTACACATACAGTCAGAAAAACGCGCACTGATTGTTTGGCGCCTTGCCAGAAAAGAGCCAACAAGGGGTCCTGAGACTGGGTAGAGAGCATTTGGATGATGATGGCGGGGGGGTTAGTGGAGGTTGAAGACGGTGCGGACGAGCACGCGATGGCTGCTGCTGGCCGCCGAATTGCTTTTCGATTAATTTCACGCTTGTCAGCGAGCTGACACACTCTGTTATATAGCCAGTGCCAAATCAGAGTCCAAAATGAACTCGCACGCACACACAAATATACAAAAATACACACACACACACACGCACACTCACACCTACACACAAATACTATATATACATACAAATAAGCTAGACTGATTCACTTATTTGTATGTCTGCATATTTGCAAAGCATTTATTTTATTTTTCGTAGCCACATACAAATGTGTCTGTGTATGCTTGTATGTCTATGAGCGCATTGTCAGACTGTCTGCCCGCCAGCCCGTCTGTCTCTCTCTGCCTGCCTGTATGCTCGAGAGTCTGCGGCTACACATTTGTCATTTCTCAAACATATGTCCAAATCTGCTTTCCATGACTGCAACAATCCAGTCTACCGGTAGTTTTTATTTTTATACAATTTTACGACTCATAAATTATTCCAAGGCCACGCTACTCCCGATCGACTTCCCCGTCTTCAAGATAACATTTTTTAGCTAGTTCTTTTCTAGGCTCGCCACGAAATGTATTTTAAATACATTTTAATTTTAATTAGCGTACATTAACTAAACTTGGTAGGCAGACGATCCTAGTCCCTAGTCTATACGAGTTTATTTTATTTTTTCGATTTTCCCTGCCCAAAATGTACTTTCCACATTTTCAAACCCACATAAAACAAATTTTGCACACATAATCTATATGCAGCAATCTACTTTTATACATCTTTCGTTTCAAATTTCATCTAAGTCGGTTAATGCTAAGAAAAGTTATTTGCTAACAATTTCACTCCAGTACTACGCCCACAAGCTGCAGCATCAAGTTCGCTCTTCTTCTTCAATATGCTTATGCTATGGGCGCATATAACTCAGGGGCGGAAGTTTGTCTGGGTTCAGGGTATTCCACTGTCGGGCTAGCTCGACTGTAGCGTTCTCTCTTGTTTTTTTCGCTATTTATGTAACATTCATAATTAGTTTTAATTCTTAAGATGCTTACTTAGACAACTTTTGTATTCCCTAACTTTCAACTAGCTTAAGCTGCCATATTGGTAGTAGAAAACTAGTTTAATAAATTGTATATATGTAAAAAAAAAAATATAAAAAAATTCTTAAGTCTCCAACAAGATTCTGTTTGCTCATGACTTCATTTAAAAATTAGGCTTTGATGTTTTCGCCTAAACATCGATGATCGTCGATGTATTGCGTTGTAAAAATACATCGGTAAAAATCGAGTACTCATTGTAAAAACATCGACGATGTAAAAAAAAAATCGATTTTTTACAACCCTTATACAAACAAAAAAATTGTTGACAATCATATGTTCAATTAGAACGATTTTGTTTAATAATTATTTGTTATTTGTATTTTATGTTTAGTTTTCCAACTAAAGTTTCCTCAATTTTCATTCAAAATATATTTACCTTCCACCTCCTTTTCCCATTTGTACTCTAGGTTCCTATAATATAATTAAATTATTGATACCCATGTAGGCGTATTTTATGTATTTACAGTTTGAATTCCGTTCATCTATTTGTGCCAACCTCTCCGATGCCATGTATTTCAAAGTCGGGACACCCGACTTTAGCTTTCTTACTTTGTTTTAATTAGGAATCGCAATTAATTTGACAACAAAAAAGTCAAACTCGCTAGACAACTTACTTATCTAATATTATAGTATATTTTCGAACAAGAAATTACGCTAATTAAACAAATTAACTCCAAGGCTCGCCCGAAAAGGGTGTAGATGGGTCAACGAAATTTAATTAAGTTCCTTCGCTTTTTTGTTGGAGCTGAAATTTGTGTGCCTGGCAGCCCAGTTAGCCCATTAACCCCTAGGCGTGAAACGCCTCATTGCTAACCTTTCAATTAAATATCTTTATAGCTTTTCAACTGTGAAATTGCTCTATTCATAATTGAGTTAACAGGAAGAGGGGAAAGTGCAACTCATTTTTCATTTCACCTTTATGTTTTTAAAGTATTTTTAAAGCACCTTAACGGGAATATTTTGCATCCAAATGAATCCCTGTTTCACGAAACGAAGCTCCACTATTTTCTAGAGCATATACGGGTAGAATGTCCCAACACTGCACATGGAGGACCTTATTGCCACTTTTATTTCGATAATTTAGTGTCTATCGGGGTGTGTGGTTGTGTTACATGTGGTGTGTATCTGTGTGTATGTGTGTGTGTGTAATTATATTGCCCTTTTTCTTACAATCAGTGTTGGTATTCGCAGGCGCCTGATTTTGATTTTATTAAGTCAATGACACATCTGCGGTCTGTGTGGCAGTATTTAACGAACTGTAACTGCCTTCAATTTGAACTCTTGAGCAACTCCTGAGCCAAGCATTTATGTACGAGTATGTGTGGCATGGAGGGGTGGGATGGGGTTGTTGGTAATTCCGAGACATAATTTTCTACTCACAGCACAGCTCGACAAAAGCCGCGCATCTGTGAGCATGTGGGTGTGTGCGAGTGTGCGGGTGTGTATCTTTAAGTCACCTGACAAATGTCGAAACGTGACACTTGCCAAGAAATTAGATAAGCTGAAAAGTCGTCCCACACAACGACGCGCAACTCAAAAAAGTTACTTGACGTCAACGTCGACACCGACGTCAGCGTCTGCGTCTACGTCTGCGTGAGCAGCGCCAACAAATGACGGCACAAATGTCAACGTTGTCATGTGCAGACTTCTGCCTCTCATACCGCTCAACACCCCACCACCACAGTCGCCAGCAACTTCTAGCACTTCTAGACGCGATCTTAGTTCGTTGTTGAGATGCCGCTGCCAAATGGCAAACTCTATTGCCTACTTTTTTGGGCAGTTGGCATTAAAACCCAACCAAGACAAGCTATATACACACATATACCATATACATACATACATACATACATACATACATACATACATACATATGTATGTGCTCGTGTTGTGGGAATGTAAGGGCATAAGAGGCTGCGTAGCTGACAAGTTCTCGCACTTAATTTTATGCGAGATATGCAGAAATGACGCGCGACGCCGTTAAACTTTCACAGCCTACGGCAGGATGGCCGACTGAGCAGGAGAGGAGGACGAAGAAACGAAGCAGACACGCAAACAGGCTGAGTGCCTTGGCATTGTCTAAGCATCAGCAATCAGGCAATCACATACACACACACACACACACACACACAGAAACACGCATGCTTGCTTGCTTGCTGTTCTCCGACTCCGGCTGGCTTCGAGTAAAAGTGTAATTAAATGCTGATACATGAAGCGAGGAGAACAAGCAATTGGTTGCCAAGGGGGGAGGGGAGTTGCCGAGAATATAGCTGGGTAGGGGGGATTTTGGCAGAGCAACCAGGCAGTTGCTAGCAGGCGTTAGCGTCTTGGGAGTCAAATTTCTGGCAACGGGGCTCGGGTCAACAGAATCGAGCCAGCGCGGAGGTTGCAGCTTCAGTTCAGTTCAGTTAAGTTCAGTTCCAGTGTTGGTCCCACAGTACCAGAGCTGCCCCCGCCCAGCCTGTTACTCAATTTCTTAATTTACGCAACCCGAAACGTGTTGACACTGCGCCTTCGTTTCCTTCCACTCCATGGCAGCGTTAATGGTGCCGCCACAGTCGCCGCAAACTTTTGGCCACATCCATCCTTGGGGGCACGTCAACAGTCCAAGCATTAAAACGGCCCGTGCGTCGTCCCATTTCAATTAGTGTGCATTACAAATGAAGATTGGGAATAGCGCGGCAGGGGCAGAAACACAGACAGGGACATGGAAACAGGAACAGGGACATGGACTTGGATATGGGCACGGGTATGGGTATGGGTATTGGCATGGAGCACTGTGGAGAAATGTGGGCGCATTACAGCGCCCAAGGCAATGACAACTCAATTCAATTTTGACGAACTGTAAACTGTAAGCCGTGGACTGTAAAATGAACGCCAACACACTAAATCCAAAATGCTACGCCCGCAGCATTTGGCTGCCTCTTTCAGACCCAAAGAAAAAAAAACAACAAAACAAAACGCAACTTTATTTGGCCCGCAAGCGCACTTTTCAGGGCTGGTATTGAAATTAATTGATTTATAACACAATTTTCTCATGCCAGCTTTTCTTTGAAATGCACTTTTAAATTGTGTCCAGATGGCATACACAGAATAACTTTAATTACTGAATTCTGAACAGGCAATAACAGATACAGACTCGCTAGACTGACTTGTAAGATGCCAATACACAAACCTAGCTTGAGACTGAACCCCTGTTTACCTAATTTATGTGAATTTTTATGTTATACATTTTCATTTAGGAATTTTCAATTCAATAATAACACTTAAATATGAAATAAATACACAAGAAGTTAATTAAAAAACATATACGGGTATATTTATTTATAGTACTTAAATATATTCATTTATATTTATTTATTCGAACCATGGAACTAAGCAATAATCATTGATCGTTCAGACGTTTTATTTCATCAATATTAAATACTAACCTATATAATTATGTATCTCGAGAGCAATATCCGCCAAACAAGAAGTCGATCCGAGGCAGGACAAAACAACGTCCTGATTTAAACAACCGCACCTTTGCCTAATTTTGTTTTCAAAAAATTGTGTGCCCGGGCGACAAGCGATAGAAGTGAAACTTAATGATTGTATTGGAATGATTTACTTTGGGTTAATTTTTTTTTTTAGATTGGAGAGGGGAGCCTTTATCATCAAAAATTGTTGACCAATGTACATTTGGCTTAAGAAGAGTTAGGAAACAACTTTAAAATATCTGTAAACGGATAGAAAATGGCTAGAAAACAAGTTATACAGTTGTAGGGTAGAAAATACGCAAAAAAACACCTAGAAAACTTTCCAGAGCTTCTGACAACGCAGTTCTATTTCACATTAAAAATATTTCCGCAAAACCTGAAAGCCACGCTTAAAAATCAAGACCTACTCGTACCAGGTAGGCATAAATAAGCAGAAGGAAATTCAACTGCTAACGAATACGAGTTTGTTTATTGCCTGTTATCGTGTCATTGGTTTGTCACTGAAAAGGTTGCCGATCCACCGTTCAAGGCCCTCAAATAAGAAGTTTCACTTCAATAAAAACATTTAAAAATTAAGAAATAAATTAAGTCAGCTATGGACCCCTTTTCAGAAGAAATAATAGCAAACCAGATATCGTTGACAATATTCACTTCAAAGAAACATACAATGCCAGTTAAAATAATTTTTTTAGATGCTACCAAATTAAAGAAACAAACAAATTCATCCAAACAGGTTCTCATTTCCGCAAATCGTAGCGACTTCACCGATTCTTGCACCGTCAAGGCTTACCTTAAGCTCGAAATCAAATTCCCTGTTTGGGGTAATGTGGAATCGGGATTGGCAATACAATTTACAATTCCGACTGTATATCTACATAATATTGTTATTGCTGCGCGCGTTGGAAGAAATGAAGTTATCGCCGTCTGTCTAGCCAGCTTGATAGCCTTGAGGCGTTTTTCATTACTGTGTCTGTTTCAGAATTGGTTTCCATGCTCTCCGTTTTGGTCCTTAAAGCGCGTCCTTGCCGCATCGATGCGCTTCGGCTTTAAAAATTGCGCACCTTGCATCCAAGCAACGAATGCTGCCAATGCAAGGACATCCAAGTGGAAGTGGAAGTGGATGTGGATGGGGATTCGACGGCTGGGGGCTGAGAATGTGGAAACAGAGCAGGGACACGGGGCATGAGGCACGGGGGACGGGGCACGGGGGACGGCTGGTATGGCTGCCATCTCGCAGCTGTTGCACTAAACTTTTATTGTTGTGCCGCGCGCACTAAATTTTTATGCAGAACACCGAGGCTTACGTTCAAACATCTACAAAGATACACAAAAGGATACACACACACACACACACATACATATATATAACGAGAAATGCCCATGTTGGGCGAGCTGGCGGAGATTGTATGAATTTAGCGCTTCCACTGCGTTTCCTTGTCAGCATCAGCAACATTTTAATATGACCCCATATCCGCCTCAGACGCCACCAGACACGACCACCACCCCCATTCCACCATTACTCCACCATTTCTCCATTTCTCGGCGGCGGCATGTTGTGCCATTTACTTATTGTTCTCTCTCTTTCTCGCTTGTGTCCACCACTCTCAATTGTGTCTCTCTCTCTCTCACACTTCCACTCTCTCTCTTTCGTTGCAGATTTGCTCATCGAAATGCTGGGCGTATTGGCCAGCTATAGCATAACGGTAAAGGAGCTGAAGCTCCTCTTCGGCACCATGAAGGCATCCAATGGCAAATGGCCGAGGCATTCGGCAAAATTATTGAACGTATTACGGCAAATGCCGCATCGCAATGGGCCGGATGTGTTCTTCAGTTTTCCAGGGCGTAAAGGATCGGTAAGTGTTAATGACAGCTAAAGCAATATGTATACGAACGAACATATATAACAACAATAACAACAACAAAATTAACAACTCACCATGCAATTCGCAAGCAGCGCGTATAGTTTGCAACCACGCCCTATAAACCGCCCACAATACAGCGCCACAATAGTGAACCACCCCACCTGGCGAACTCATCGAAATCTATACGTGCCATGTAAAGGCATACTACTTATAAGTATGTAATAAGCAGGAGAAGTTGTAGGGTGGTGCGAAATCAGAGAGTTGTATTATTCCTATATACTTGTAGTACTTTTGATTGTTTGAACTAGATTCGAGGGATTCCCCTCTTCTTACTAAGGATAACAAATAGTGCAGAAACCAAACTCTGCAAATAGACATCATGTTTTAAACTTCACAGTCAGAATTGGAATACTTTTTTTTAAATCATTAATAAATAATTCTGAAACGTCATCGTATGGTACCAGAGATATCAGCAAAGAATAACGAACTCTAAATGCTTTCGAAAATATCCTCTTTTATTGCACTTTTCTATGGAAATTAATTCAGATAGAAGATAGAACTGTTGTGAAAATTGTGAATATTGAAATCACAGTGAGAATTGTAAATAATTTTTTTTAAATTATAAAAATCAATTATTAATTCTGGAACGTTACCATGCCACCAGAGATATCAGCAAACAATCACGAACTCTAAATGATTTCGAAAGTATCATCTTAGGAAATTTATCAATAGAGAGGGATTATGAGAGTTTAGAGACAAAGTCATAAAGCCAGCGCTAAAGTTAAGTTTGTTTATTAAACCTTACTATTACTACTTAGTTAAAATTTAGTTTCTATAAATTTACATCAGAATCGTCTCTCTGGGTGTTTATACAACAGCTGTGGGCAGAGCTGCAGGCAGAGCATGGGCAGCCATTTTAATTATAGCTATAACTTTCTTCAGAATTGGCATACGGACAGATAACCACAAACTGGATGTATATGCCAAATTTGAGTTCAAAACTCTAAGAATTACGGGAGTTGTGAAGAACACGAATTGCGGCTGAGTGGAGGGGTAAATCAGAATTTAAAAATCAAACTTGACCTGCCTAGGGCACGCCTCCTTCTTCCTGTTACATAAATTCGCACAAAACTAGTATAGCCTTTTACCCTTTGGCTATAAAAAAGTCAAACTTTTTGTAAACAAATTTGCCAAATAGTATTAAGATAAACAATTAGTTCAGCTCTTTGATGTTGAGATGAACCAAAACAGATGCCACTATATAGAATTTCCAATTCATGGTGACTTTTAAATCACTGCCAAGATACATGAACAATCATTTCAACTTTTCGATATTAAAGAAAATCCAAAACAATTGCTACATACTATATGTAGTGTCTAGGAGCTCGAAATCTAAACTCCTACATCCCTCATTAATTCATTTTGTAGTTCGCATGGGAACATGACGGCCCAGTTGATAAACTATATCTTTGTTGTAGTTCGAAGCAAAGCGACACAGTAGCTCTAATAGATGGTTGGGCGTTCCCCATTCACCAATGTACTTAGGCACCTCTCCCCTCCCCATTCCGCCACCTGCCCCGTTCGTACATTTCCGGGGCTTTTATTTTATTGCTTCGCACTTAAATCGAATTCAACTGTATGTCCAACTTGACTGTCTGCTCGGTTTGACAGTTAATGTGTGTCTGTCTGTCTGTCTGTGTATATGTGTGTGTACAAATGTATTTATGTCTGTGTATGTATGTATGTGTGTGTGTGTGTGTGTGTGTGAGCGCCCATAAACACATAAAAAGTGCCATAAAGTGAATTGGAAGTCAAATGCGACATGCGTCGCATCGAATTCTGAAACTCGCAATTGTCACAAAATGTCCAATAAACCGACCAAGAAGCGTGTCGTCCCACTCCCCACTCCCCCCTTGCTCCCTTCCCACCCACGTATAAGGGCGATGCTAGAGAAACATTTGTAGCAAGCGCCCCCTGTTAGGCCTCTAAACCCCTACACCACCCAACTGCCACCCCCACCATAGGCTTAATGTAAAAGTAGATTTTAGGCGGGAATTTTTTTTTTTTTTTTTTGCTCTTCCTATCATCTTCTATTCTCGTTTTATTTTTCGCTTTTTTGCTCTCTCTTTCTCTATCTCTGTTAATTTTCATTTAGCGCGCTTTTAGGCGTCCATATTCCCAAACTATCGCCTTCGCCCACTACGCAACGCTCGTTTAATGTTTATAATGACGTTGTCGGCGCTGATTGTGTCGATGATAATGATAACGATGATAATCATGATAAAGATGATGATAAAGATGATGATAAAGATGATGATAAAGATGATGATTATGATGATGATTATGATGATGGGTATGTCGTTGTCGTTGTTGATGATGCGGCGATGTCGATGGCGCTGGCGCTCGCGTTGGCGGCGCAAAAGTAATGAGATTTCTGCCAGCTGGAAACGTCCTCCGGTCTGCCAATGTCAGTGGATTGGATTTCGCAGTTTCGGTTCAGCAAACAACTTTGCGCCCACTGTCTGTGGCATACAGCTACGGCCTGTGGCTCTGACTCTGCCTTTGCCTCCACCTCCAACTCGGCCTATGACGCTCTGTCTGTATCTGTGCATGACTTGGGGCCAGTTTGCTGTAAAAATTATTTATAATTGTGCCATACTGAAAAGTTGAAACCGTGCGGCGAATTCTCGGCCCAATCGTCGTTGGCATGGCCTTCGAAGCATGACAAACAAGCGAGCAACCCATCCAACCCACCCAACAACCGACCATCCGACAAGCTACAAAGTAAATTTCTGCGGCTGGAATTGTTGCACATTTAGAACGAGAGGCAGCTGTGGCCATGTGTTTCTATCACTCCACGAATGACCGAGTTAATGACTGAGCGATGGATACTAAATGATTGAACGAGAAGGATTCGCGCTGTCTTCCATTCCGTTGGTTGGCTGGCCTTCACATAGTTTGACCGTGCAGTCGAACGCAACTGAATGCAAATTAATGATGGAATGGCCTCCATGTCTTTGACAGTGACACGGCCCGAACTCAGTTGAAAATTATAATGTAAACGAAACAAATAGAGAAACTAAAGTCGGGTGTCCCTACTTTGAAATACTCTGTATTTATGTGTAGAATAATTATAGAAATTTAAAAAATTAGGAAAATGTGAGCAACAAATTACCTCCTTCGATATTCGAACTCACGTAAAGGGTGAGGGAATAGGAATTGTGTCTATGCAAGTGTGTACATGTCTATGCGTGTCTGTTCGTGTCTGTGTAAGCATATATGCAGCACAAAGTTCAACCAAAGCAGCGGCAACAACAACAGCTGCGGGCGGCGCTTGAGCAGAGAGAACCTATTGTATATAGTTAACTTCCTTTAAAATCGGCCTATCATGATGAAAATTAACATACGGACTAACTGAATAAAGTTACCAAATTTTAGTTTGAAATTCCAAAAATTGCGGGAGTTATGGAAAAAAGCACGAATTCCGGGGGAGTGGGGGGTGTATCAGAAAAAAAACACAAACTCGTCCTTTCTCGAACTTAGAATCTTGATACCAAGTTTGGTTATTCTAGCTCTCAGTATACCCGTTCACCCTTTGGGTACTGCATATAAATACTTATACAAGTATGTACAAAAAAAGGGGGGAAAAATAAAAGGCATATAATAAGATAGAACTGCTGTAGGAATTGTATATAGATTAGAGATTGTAACAACAGAAACATACTCGTGTATATACTTGTAGTATGTCCATTCGATATGTTAGCATCAGAATTATTAAAATGTTTTCAACATATTATTGCATTCATTGAAAATTGAACACAGGAAACATTTTTGAACAGATAGAGCTTCTTTGATAACATAACTTTGTAGAATTTCGCACTCGAAATTCAAATATTTGTATTACCTTATGTTCAATAAATTTTCCTTATTGTAGACGTTCACAACTTTTGTGAAAAATATCATTTATTTTCGATCCGATTTGAGAGAAAAGGAACTCTAGTTAACTTGCTAGTTTCTGCGCATAAATATAAACATTAAACTTGCCCCTGAGAAAGAGTGTGGGGTGGGGGATAGTGTGTTTCGAAATTGTTTTGTAACTGCTGAACATAAATATCAATTTACCATTCCAGTAACTGTTCAGGCAAGTTCGTTTGCACATCACTCCGCTACGTAAAATTTGAAGTGAGTTTTTGCAGAGTTTTCGATTACCGAAGGCATGAAGAGATTGTAAATTTATGAACTGAAAAGTAAACAGGCGATGCTTGTGTGTATGTATCTCTGTCTGTGTGTGTGTTTGTGTGTGTATGTGTGTGTGTGCTACCACAAAATTCATGATAAATCAAATATACTCATTTCCTTTTAATTTGCACTTCATTCCTGTTGCGACTGTCGTTGCCGCCTTTACCTGCCTCGGTGTTTCCTTTGCCGCTGCTTGCCTTTAGCTTCAACTATTTAAATTCCCTTTGCGTGTGTGTGTGTGTATTTTTGTGTGTGTAATAGGTGAGTGCGTGTCTGTAACAGTACAGAAGGAACCGCACCGGACCGCACCGCACCGCACCGCACTAAACCAAACCGAACCAAACCAACCAGTGACCAAAGCTTACCACTACGAGTAGCAACAGAAACCAAACGAAGCCAAAAACTCATTCGAAAATCTTTTAACAATGTGCTAGAAACTTTGATTTATGTTGTTTGCTTGGTTAGTGCGGTGTTTGGTTTAGGTTTGTCGTTGCCCTTTAACCGGATATACGAGGTACGGGGCCAGACCATTCATTGATGCCATGTGTTGCATATTTTAATGTACAAACGGCAAACAAAACATTCTTCGCACCGAAATGCCAAAGGCGTTTGCCATTGTTAACAGCCAATTATGCGGCTTATTTCAAGTTAGTTGCCCAACATTTCAACACAACAGCCTAGCCTGATAATTGACTTTTAACCATTTGGGATGAGTTCCTTTTGTTTGGGTGGCCCGGCTGTTAGCCATGACTATATTTGCTTTAATAAGCTGTATTTACAGAAACCTTCAATACACATTAGTTTAATTTGAGTTAATTAACTAGCTAACTATTTATTTGTTTGTATCCACAGGCCATGGTATTGCCGCCGCTGGCTAAATGGCCATATGAGAATGGCTTTACCTTCACCACCTGGTTTCGTTTAGATCCAATCAACTCAGTGAATATTGAGCGCGAGAAGCCCTACCTGTACTGGTGAGTATTTCTTACTCTACACTACTCTACACTACAAGTAGTAACAATTGCTAATGTCTCTCTCTAAACCCGTCTCTGGCAGCTTCAAGACATCCAAGGGCGTCGGCTATACGGCGCACTTCGTCGGTAACTGCCTGGTGCTCACGTCGATGAAAGTCAAGGGCAAGGGTTTTCAGCATTGTGTAAAATATGAATTCCAGCCACGGAAGGTAAACAAAAAACCACCCAACACTTTTCACAATTTTCCATATACTTGCGTATTTTTCCTATACTTTGCAGTGGTATATGATCGCCATAGTGTATATATACAATCGTTGGACAAAAAGCGAAATCAAGTGCCTCGTTAATGGTCAACTGGCCTCGTCGACCGAAATGGCGTGGTTTGTTTCCACAAATGATGTAAGTAACAATATAATATATTTAAAACAAAATTGGTTTATTTATTTATTTATTTTATCTATTTACACTCTGTCTTACGACAATAAGAAAATTTTAATTTCAGATTTTCTATGTTATGTTGAAGTAGTATTTTTATTATCTATCCGGGAGATCGATAATTAAATTAAATAAAGATAATTTAAAATAATTGACTTAAAAAGCAATCAGATTTGACAGCAAAAAATTAAATTGGAAGCACTGCATCCACCTCAATGTTTTGTAGTGTTCTCCTGGTTGGTTATAACAACCAAGAGCTTGAGGCAGCAATACCAACCAATAAATGCACTAAGGATCATGCCAACTGTTAAAACTGAGTTCAAAATTCTTCTCAACTAAGACTGATTAAAAGATGCCACAGTTATCACAAGATTTACTTGTAATAATTAGCCACCCTAGGACAGATCTTAAATAAAAATTAAATACTTAAAAGAAAAAAACTTGTATAAATATATAATTACATTAGGAATAAGTTTTGAGGGAGATGTCTATAATGATTCGTTCATTCATTCCCTTCCCGCAGCCCTTCGACAAGTGCTATATTGGCGCGACGCCCGAACTGGATGAGGAGCGCGTCTTTTGTGGCCAAATGTCTGCAATTTATTTGTTCAGCGAGGCGCTGACCACTCAACAAATATGCGCTATGCATCGCCTGGGGCCGGGCTACAAGGTAAGCGGTCGTTCAGTCTATTCTTCTTCTTCTTCTTTGTTTCTTTGGATTAGAGTGCACCAATTATGAAAAAGAAAACGAAAAAAGCAAAAGAATTGCTGCACTGCACAACACTGCACCACTACGCCAGCCGTGTACTGTGTCTCCCGTCTCTGTCTAAAATGTAAAATACAACAATAATGTAACGTGTTTTTTTCTCGCTCTTTCTTTCGTTCTTTCTCTTTCTCGTTGCACACACACACACACGCACACACACACACCAAACTGCACAAAAATATTGCGATACACAAAATTATTCCACACACGACCGTGCTTTTGTGTGTGCCTGTTTGTGTGGCTTTGTGTGTGTGTGCGCGCACCGCCCGCCTTTTTGCACTGCCTCCACCAACAACAACAACAACAAATACAACAACAACAACAATTTGCTGTACACAGTCGCAATTCCGCTTCGATAACGAGTGCTATCTGAATCTGCCGGACAATCACAAGCGGGTGAGTCATTTTCAACTGCCAGCCAGCCTGGGGGTGGTTGGCGGCGGTGGCCTTGTGCCGAGTGCCGGTACAGTTGGTGGTACATCTGGTAATGGGGGTTCGGCCACCACTGGGGGTAGCAGTGCCACCTCAGCCGCATTGACAGCCGCCCAACAGCAGCTGCTGCAGTTGCAATTCCAAACTCTGGCCGCCGAGCAGGAGGCGCGTGCCATTGACTGGGCCGATGAGCGTCTCGATTTGAATGCAGCCTTTGCCAAGATTCGAGCCGTTCTAACGGCACGCAATGCGGTCACATTGGCGGCTCTTACTGGCGGCACAACAACAACAGCTTCGACAACAACATCAGCGGTGGCAGCAGCAGCCGCAGCGGCAGCAGCAGCAGCAGCAGCAGCCTCAACCACGAACATCCCGCCCGATGCCGTTGATAACAACAACAGCAACACCAGCGGCGGCAACAACAGCAACAACAATTTGCACGCTCCAGCGGACGATCCACTCGGACATTTGCCGACTGGAAATGCTTCTTTCGGTATTTATTTGCTTTTATGTTTTGCGGCTTTCGATTTTGTTGCACTTAGTTTGTTTATTATTTTCTTCTTTTATTTCTATACGTCATCATTTTACTTCTTCTGTCCCCTATGTGTGTGTGTGTGTGTATGCCGCGCTGTGGTGTATGTCCCACAGATCAACTCCGTCGCATGTCCAGCGCGACGAGCTTGAATGTCAGCCACGGCAGCAGCTCCGTTGGCATCTTTGCCGGCGACACCGAGGAAATCAACCAGCTGAAAGCTGTAAGCAACAACTTATACTTATGTGTTCTCCTAATTTCTTTTATGTTTTATTATTAGTATTCACATTTTTTATTCCGCTTATTTAATTTGGTATGTGGACTCAAGCTTTCCATTTAAGCTATAAAGAGTACAAGTATATTTATATTTATATATATTTTTATTTTTATTTTTTTCTTGCTTTAATTTAGTTGCAATTGCAGTCCTCTCAGAACATGAAGACGAGCTTTTCCTTTTGATTCATTCAATGTTCTTTTAATATAGTAAGCTGTTACATGTTTGACCAACACTTTTATCTACTACATAAGTACAATGAAGAATATTCTAATCATTTTCCTTCTGCTTCTTTTTCTAAAATGAAGTAAATGAAAAAGATTATTTTTCTGGCACTAAAGTTATGGTCAGACTGGCAAATAGTTGGCACACAAAACTTTTGGAATCTCACGAATATATCATGAATAAAATGAAAAAATTAATATTTTGATTAAATAATGCAAAAATGTGCGTTAAAATAATAATTTATGCATATGATAACCAGAAAAACTTCAACAAATCCAACTCAGTTCCATTTCAAGGCGAAATAGTGCGCGGCAATAATGAACGTGTAGTCGAGTTTAGATTGCGATTTCTGCATACGCCCTTGCTTAAGATATTTTTTATATCATATTAGATTGCAATCTTTCCACAATATTTGCACGCTTTATTATATTTTTTTAATATACCTCCAATATTGGTTACAAGCTATTTATTTTCTATAATATGATACAAGTTTATTCATAGTAACTTTTTAAAAGACATTTCTGATGTCTTCTTCTGATAGTCTTCCTCATTATACGTATATTCTCTCTCGACTATAACGTAGGCATTATCTACTTCATGTTCCCCAAGTAATTTTTGAAGACTTTTTTAAAATTGCTTTATCTATGGAAATCAGTTTCCTCAACCAATTGAACATAATAGTAAGGCACATAAATTTTATTTTATTTTTCAATCAACATTTAAATAAAAACAAATCTAATTTTGTGTTTTAAGAAGTGTGTTCATTAGCTTGATTGATTCTAAGACAGTTTTTGCGCCGCAAAGTACTTTTAGATTAATGATATTTGCAGTTTTTTATGTCTATGGATAGTCAGATAAGCAAATTGTGCTGCACATTTCATTAATTTTATATAATTTGAATTAATTTTGCGCTCAAGTTTCCAAACAAATAAAAAAAAGAACACAAAATATACATATTTACTTATAAAGGCAGACACACACATGCCCCTCACAACGAGCCGACGGACGGAAAGCCTTGTCAGCACAATACTCGAGAACTTTTTGTTAGTTAGTCACCGATATTCCCTCCCGCCTCCGGCCTCCGTTCACCGTCCCCCATGCATGGAACCAACGACCCTCCGATACGGCGGCCACTTAACCGCACGCCAATTAAAAAGTTGCCTGCCTCGACTCGACTCGACTCGACGTCCACTCGAATGCGATGTCGTCATCGTCAGCACCACTGCCCTCATCGTCGATGATGATGGCGTTGATATTGACGATGACGATGACGATGGTGATGGCGATAGCGTTGGCGGCGACTGAGTCGTCAGGCATTTCAAATCCGCAAACCAATCAAATCAAAATGTTCGTGGCGCCTAAGAACTTCAAAGCCAATCAAAACGTTCCCATTCATTGAAGCGCGCAAGGCAGTTCAATTGAATTTTGAGAGCACTCAAGCTGTTATGCCCCAAGCGTCGTCCATCGACGCGCTTAATTATGAAAATTAATTCACATACAGTTTTTAGTTTATGCGAATATCTAAGGTCTGCTACATATTTTAGAGCGCACAATGAGCTTTATGGAAATAATTTTAGTTTACAATAAAAAGTACTTTCCAACTAGCATTTCATTCTTCCAATGAGCTGTTTAAAAAAAGATAATCTGGTCCTTCCATGAGCATAATTCAGACACCAATTTTAAAGAAAGAGCGAATTGCGCAAATTAATTAAGTTGAGTTTACACATAGTTAAAAAAAAAACACAAAAACTATGCATTTCTGAAACGAATATGGATTTTTATAGAATCGGTAACAGGTTACAAATATCATTAAAGTGAAATATAATTCCGATTGTTTCCCAAAATAAATAGCAAAAAATAAAAGTCGAACCTGATTTTTTAATTCAATATCTATTCAGCCATATTTTTTGGCCATTTTTTCGCAATTATATCAAATACCCAGCCATAGTTGCTTCTTCACGCTCTTCACAATAAGTCATTCAATAATGTTCCAATTGTTTTATAAAAATATAAATGTTTTTTTTTCAAAAAAATATAAATTTCTACAAGGCATAGCATTTAATGCTACCAGAAATTTCTACAACAAAAAACAATCTGGTCTCTTCATGCAAATAGTTGAAAAAAAAGAACACAAAAATGATGCTTTTCTGAAACGAATATAGAATTTTTATAGAATAGGCAACAGGTTACAAAATTCATTAAATTGAAATTTAATTCCGATTATTGCCGAAAATAAACAGCAAATAAAAAGTGAACCTGATTTTTTAATTCGATTTCTTGGCCACCTTTCCGCAAATATATTAAATACCCTACAATAGTTTTTTCTTCACGGTCTTCACAATAATGAACGAATTGTGTTATGCCTCCGAATAATTTTGGGCAAAAAGTTAAAATTTGAGGAAAAATGTAACAGCTTTATTCAAATTTTTTCGATTACTTTGGTTTATAACAATTAACAATGTTTCACAAATGTCCGTTTAATTCAAATTTCACTAAGCGTCCTCCTTCTTTGACTGGTCAATATCAATTGATTTTTGTTAGTGATTAGGGGGGTTCCTACTATCACCCATTCCTACAATATATGTATATATATTTTTTTTTCCTGTTGGTAGTAGTAGTATATATTTGTAAAGTGCGCGTTAACGCGCTTAAAGCACGTTGCGGCCGCTGTTTTGCTTTCGTTTTTAACAATGGCGCGGCATAGAAATTAATGTAGCATACTTTTAAGAGCAGCTGCACACAGAGCCCGCTCTCGCACAGTCCCCACCTGTACGCCGCCTACACAAAGCTAGGGAAATGTAGAGCTTGTGTTGTTGTTGCTATATATACATGCTTTTTAGAAATCTTGCCGCGCGTTCCATATTTCTGAACGCTAGCGCCTATTTCTATGGCACAGCGTCATCAACGTCATGCCTGCTTTCTTCTTCCATGTTCCATTTCACCATTTTGCTTCTATTTTTTCGCTTACGCTGAAAGCAAGGCGCAGTTCAGTTATGTTGTACTATTATTATTATTACTATTATAGTTTGGTGTATGGGCGCTCCCTTCTATGCGTTGAGAGTCATGCTTGTTTGTGTGTGTCTGTGTGAGTGCAGGTATGGAGGGCAGGAGGCGGTTGAGTTGAGGCAAGTAAAAGTGGCGCGCAAGTTGAGTTAATGAAAGAACTGTTTGCCAGGCCACATACTCGCACAAGCATAGAATATGGGGAGGGGGAATTCTATAGCTGTCCCAATGATGCAACTTAACTGCTTCATGAAACGGCAGCAAGTAGCAGCTTGCCGGCATTGCACTTTGCAGCACATTTTTGTGCATATGCTGGTGAAACGAGTAAAAACAACTTGGCCATAAAAGCCAGTGCAGCTTTATGGAAAAAGGAAGCGTATGCGACCGAATCTTATAGCCAACATATGCACTTCCACCACCTCCACTTGCTCGTCCATTCCTCATACAGTTCCGCACTCTGCAAATATTGCCAGGAGCAGCTGGTCTAACAGTTTAATTTGTTTTCAAAACTTTAAGTAAAACAAATCGGTTATTTCAAGCTCAAACATTTAACTGGTAACAAGAAATCCAACCTAAACAGAAACTTCTAAAAATTAGATCAAACAAGCAAGCTAAAGAGCATAAAGACTACTTGTATTTCCATTCAATGAAAATATGCCATCTTCACAACAACAAAAACAGTAGTTTTTGGTTTTTATATTTTTTCTTTTTGTAGAAACTTTTCATTATTATCTGTTTCTTAATAGTTACAATTATTTCTATACTGCTACAGTCTGATTTAGATTAAAAACAGCATTAGGTTCAAGTGATTATTGTTTGTTGCTTTAAATATTACGAAATAGTATTCGTTTTAAGATTTTGGAAAGTTGTTTATGTTTAGTCTTTTTTTTTTTTTGACGCAGCAGTAGCATTCCTTTTACAACCAAATATTAGTGATTCTGGAATTTAACAACTAATTTGATGTTGCAATTAAATTTCTCAAAATTAAAATATTGTGTTCAAATAGACTTTTCCGCCAAAAAACAATTGTCATTGCTTTTGAATGAAAACTTATCGAAGTACTTTTAAAATCACTTGGAATCAGTACTTTAAAGACTGAATCGAAATGCATTTGATGTCGATTTATTTAATTAAGGAAAACAAGTCGCAGAGATTTATTTATTCAATCTAAGAAAACAAGCTACTCATCAAAAGTTGTAGAAGTGTTTTGAAAGAAAAAAAAACAAACACAATCTTAAGAAGAAGCAGATGAAATGCCTGAGTTATCCTTTACGACCTTTGTATAATTTGTAGTGTCCAGTTTCCTACTGGGCTGGTGGTCTAGCAAGCTTTTACAAGTGTTGCATTTATTTTTAGCAAACGTTATCGCGCTCTTAGGTCACCTTGGATAAGCAGCCGTAGCATCGTATGATTATGCCGTTGTTACTTATCTTATTATTGCACCCACGCATATGCATAGCATTGTTGTTGATTTAGTAAGTTCGGCTTCGGCTAAGTGCAGCTTCACGCTAACTAGCGGCGCGCCGATCGAACATTAGTACAGCGACTTTTGAGCAGTGCTGACGAATATTTCTTTTGTGCGTGTATACCATACACATATATTTAAAAAGTTAAAGCGCATGTTCTTGTTACACAACATCTAAGTGCAAGTGGTTCCTGTTTATTTAAGCCGAGGAACAGAGCATTCGGAAGAACAGTATTGTGCAGTTTGTGAATTTTGG